CGTACCTTCCAAAAATCAAAATTTTCAGAGTGAAAATTCGCGATAGAAAACCACAATTTTTCGACAAACATCTCTCAAAGACTCGCAAAGTTCAATTCCGAATATTAATGAGAAGCAATGCATTGTGGTATAGTGACCACTCCTCCTCTGGCCGCCGCACGTAAACTGCGTCTGCGATCAGGCTTCAATTTTCGCCTGCCTACAGGGTGGGATGCGCCATCTAGTGTATATGTAACCTGAAGTTCAGGCCCTAATTTGAAATAGGGCCTGACACAAAATCTATCTAAACCGTGGGACGCCCACATGTTATTTTTAGACACAATCATACAATATGATTGACACTGTGACTGTTATGTGTTATAGATCTCTGGTTATATATTTCATTGCACGAAAAATATCAGAGGGAAAATATAAAGATATTCATTATTTCATTTCATGTTATATTCTCATGAACATGTCCGCAGAGTGTGCATTTTAAACTTAAAAATCCAGGGTACTTTTAAGAGTTCAGTTTCTCCATTTAATTTAACCAGAGCAAACAAAGATTTAGTCTGTTCTGTGCAACAGTGCAAGGACTGAATTCAACTTCAACTTTATTTAAACACGGTACTATTTCACAGTATATTAAAATATATGCAAATAGTTTTGTTCTCTGCGATCTACTTTCCGCAATTGGAATTAAAGTGCGTCAAGAAAATACGCCAAAATCATTTGTTTCATCATTAAACGAGGGATCTAAACAAACGGCTTGACTGCCAAGCTTTCTCAAGGTCTCAACTTGCTGGACGCGAATATACAATTTCTAACGGGGTAACAACAGCAATAACGAAATTCTTTATCGTACCATGACGAAGGCGATATGGCTCAGAAAACAACGCTGGTAAGACCTGATAAATAACACTTTCACCGAAGCCAGTTGGCAGAACGGCAAAGACATCTTGAGCCTTGGCTGTCAACAAGAAGCTTTCGAATGCACGACTTTTGCTGTTCTTTAAGCGTCGTGTGTCCAAACTTCGTCAAAGATTTTGATAAAGCCCTTTCAAAATACTGTGTGTTTGATTTATTTTCTGCCATAAAGCGTATTAAACAAAAGAAATTCGAAGAAATTCGACAATACTATTACGATAATCACAATGCAATTTGATACATGCGTTTGACCTTGCCACATTGACCTAGCAATTTACAAAATATTGTTTATGTGAACTTCCAACCAATCAAAATCTTTCATGATGCTGATCAACCAATCAAATTTCCCGTCCACCAGATGGACGGGAATCCCACGGTTTACATAGGTTGTGTCAGGCCCTATTCTGTGATTAGGGCCTGAACTTCAGGTTATCCCTAGACAGGCTTCCACAGTTTTGGTAGCCTGTGTGTCAGGCTCCACAGTATGCTTGAAAAAGAGTCTGCTACTGAAGTGAATAAAAAATGGACAGTGATTTGGATGTACGAAAATAACCAATAAAAAAGGAGATTGCTAATTAGATTATCAAATCTAATTTAAAATATGACAATAAGAGTAAATTTTCCGCGTAATTGACTTGCTTAGGACCAGGAAACCGAAAATATCACGAAAATAAATGGTCCAATGTTAATTCCACGGCCAGGAATTACATACAAAAGATACTTGATATTACCGGAAAAGGCAAGGCTATTTATTTTTGATTTTGTATTGACTTCAATAGAAGGCTCTATTTCCAGGATAAAGCCTGACACGCAGGCCACAGTTTTGGAGGTATGCTCAGGTTGCACCAAAAACATGACCTCCAAGCGTTTTAATTAGAGAGCGTTTTCAAGGATTTTTCAATGGGAGGAGGGGGTTGGGACAAACGATTAAAATCACCCACAGTCGACATTATTATTACTATTATATTCTATATTTTAACAGGTTAACTTGTTCAGCTGTTGAGTTCAATGGCTGGTATCCTACAAGGACCTGTGTTTACAAATAATATACTAATATAAAAACTCTATTAGAAAAATGTCTCTATAAGAAGTCAAATTAAGTCAATATTCATAGTTCAAGGCTGTCTGAAAAATGTTTTACATGCATATAAAAATTATTTGTACCAATGCTTTAAATTTCGTTTAAAAATAACAACAGATTTTTCAGTTTTTAGTTCTTTCGGAAGTTTGTTAATCAACAAACTTCCTTGGAATTTGAAGGTCTTCCTTCCTACTTCAGTTTTTACTCTCGGAATAACGAGAGAGCAGCCATATCCTCTTGTGTTCTTTCCATGTTCGAGAACTTTGAAATAGGTATGGTATTGTGGCGGAGATACACATCGTATAGATGTATGCACATCTATCAGGATCTGCTCGTCAATGACATCGGCAATTTGTTTCCATTCTGTTGTCACTCCCTTGGGGCACACGATACGCTTTCCTCGGTCCTGGATTGCCTGAAGTTTGTCTATCTGGTAGTTTGGAAGTCCCAGGTGAACAGTTGGGCAATATGTTACTATAGGCTGAATCATGCTGTGGTTCACTTTTCCAGCTATAGCAGACGTTAGATTTGGTCTAATGCGTTTCAGTAACTTTAGCCTCGAGGATGCCTTTTTATAGGTTGTGGCCAGATGGTCATGTAGGTTTAGATGTTGGTCTAATAGCACTCCCAAGTACATGTATTTTGTTGCTTCGTTCACCTTCTCTCCATTTATACGTATGTTGATCTTGTGGAGTTCCTTACTCAGCTTCTTCGCTGTTACATACAAAACGAAATCTGTTTTTCCTTTCTTTAGGTTGAGCGTCAGATGGTTATCTCTCATCCATATTGCAATTCGATTTACTTCCTCGTTTAAAGTACTTTCAATGATCGAAGCATTCTTGTCGCTGAAATAAATAACAGTGTCGTCTGCATAGAGAATAATTTTACACTGTGATAGATCAGTTTCTAAATCGTTAATTAGTAGCGCAAAGAGAAGAGGGCCAAGGATGGAACCTTGTGGTACTCCGTGAGTGATGTAATTTTCCTCTGATAACGTCCCTTCGAAGTTTACAACTTGAGTTCGGGCAAACAAATAACTTGATACCCACATTAGCTCAACGTCATTAATGCCATAGGAAGGTAGTTTGTTAAGGAGACGTGCGTGGTTCACTGTGTCGAAAGCCTTTCGTAGATCGAGAAAAACTGCTCCTGTCAGCTGTTGGTTGTCCATACTTGTTCTAATGTCGTCCATGACGATTGTCACGGCGTGCTTGGTTGATCGCTTTTGACGAAATCCATACTGGGAATCATTAAGATTGTTTTCCTCGAGGTAGTATGACAAGCGATTACAGACGACTCTCTCCAGTACTTTTGAAAACACTGGTAACACTGAAATGGGTCGGTAGTTGTCAAGAGCCGTTTTATCTTCAGACTTATAAATTGGTGATATCTTGGCAGCTTTTTCAGCGGTTGGAAAAAGTCCACACGTCAGGCTACGGTTTACAAGGGTAGTTAATGGCGTGGCAAGCTCCTCTGCAGCATCTTTGACCAGTTTAGGAGGGATATTATCCAGACCAGCGGCTTTCGAGGTGCTGATTGACTCCCAATACTTCTTTGTAGTACGTGACATTGAAGTGAAATCGATGACTGTCCGGGTTCACTTTAGCTGGAAGATCATTCATGGGATCAGTTTGCAGCCAAATAGAGTCTACGAAGTTCGGTTGTGACGGGTTGATTAGGGAGGTTACATGCGTAAAGTAGCTGCAGAATGCATTTGCGATAATTTTTTTCTAAATTTGCTGTCATAAATGTTTTGCTTACAGTCTTTTTATCTTTAATTGGATAGCATTTTTTAACCTGACGTAGATTAACTGATCAAGCAATTTCCCACTTTGTAATTGTTAATAAATATGCACGTATATTTACAATAAAAACGATAAAATAAAGAGAGTCTTAAAAATATGGTAAAAAAACGCTTGGTTTCTGGATTAAAAATTCGAACATTTAAACCATGACAAAGATTGTCAATCTTTACAAAGCTAAAAATAGCATTTTATAAAGTTATCGAACCCAAATAATCTAGAGATTGATCACAAGTATCTGTTAGTGAAAGTTAATTTTGGCAAAAAAATTCCGATCTTAATTTAAAACGTAAATTTGCCTGTTTTTGTTCGTGAGGTGAGATTTGTGCAAGAAACTTTTCGCGAAACGTGTTCACATGTGACTTCCTTGCCAATGCATTTTCTTCTCCATTAAATATGAACGCCAGGAAATTACATGCACATGTATTTACGCCATGAAATTCCATGCACATGTAATTCAGAGCTCTCTTGTTGTTTTCCTGTAGACAAAGGTTTTCTATGGATGCAAAAAGTGGTTAAAAATCCGCCATTTTATCTTCAAAACAAAATCCGTCGCTCCTACAATCGCCATGTCGTTCGATTGCAAAGTGTCTATTCGTACCGTCATGCATAGCTGCATAGCGGGAATCGCTATAAGGTAAGTGGCCCATTAAGGTTGTCTCTGAATGTCAAAACCTTTGACCAGTGCACCACCTTGAGCGCGGAATGCACAATGGACATGTTTATTTTTATGAATTGTTTATGCATGCATGTTAGCACGATCTATATATAGTTGTTATATTTCAAGTGTGGAAGTGGAATTTGAAATCGATGTAACCACAGCCTCTCCGTTCTCGCCTCTCGTTTCTTTCGTCTGCCAAAGATCCTCTGAAACCAGGGTAATTTATGCCTCATATTTATGCTAATCGATCTATGCTAAGTGAATAATCGTGAAAACGTAATTGCGGTCGGTCATGCAATCGTGAGCTCCGATATGGAACAAGATTTGGGCGAGAAATCTACTATTAATCAAACAAATTATACTGATAACGCTGCGAAATATCTAACAGTTAGTGAAAAGGGTAAATTTAAATGGAACGGTCCTTTTGAAGTACTTAAATTGTTGATGAACGAATTGACGAAGAGCGATACAAAATGGTCGACACCTGATGGTTATTGCAAACTACTTGAAGTAAACGATATAGCAGTAAGATGGTACTCGGACAGTAATTCGTTAACATTAAACGGGAATTCGAGTGATGATATTAAATTCCAAATTCGGAATATTGCCAGTCTAGCTCATCCTGAAGCTGTAGCAACTAGCAAGGACTACAAAGAAACAGAGGACGCTGCTGCAGATATGGGACACACGGATGCATCGGAGGTATGTAGATGAACTTGTTCTTGTGTCAGAGTGGTTAAGCCTGACTTGGAGGGTTTAAAATTGGACATGACAATTCTAGAATCGCGATTGTTTGCTGCATTATCGGAAAACGAGTGCCGGAGTGAGTCGGACATCAATTCGCTTCGATTAAATTTAATAGAAATGGAGGGCCTTGTGCGGCATCAAGATGAAATTATTTGTCGTCTTAACGAGGATAATATATTTTTTAAGTCAAAGCTAATGTCCCTTGAAAAATTAATACTTAATGAGTCTCAAGACCACCGAAACAATGACATTAGATTGGTAAATGCAATTAGCATCAAAGAGGAATCGTCATCGCGTGACTGTGAACAAGTTATTAATTTAAATAAAAACAATTTGAGCCGTCACACACCACTGGATCGGTAAATCAATTAGCATCACAGATAACCTGAAGTTCAGGCCCTAATTTGAAATAGGGCCTGACACAAAACCTGTCTAGACCGTGAGACGCCCACATGTTATTTTTAGACACACATGCAATATGATTGACAAGTGTTGTAGATTTCGTTACACAAAAAAATTATATTCTCATGAACATGTCCGCAGAGCATTTTGCTTTTTAATTAAACTTAAAATTCAAGGTACTTTTATATAATTAAGAGTCAGTTTCTCTATTTAACCGAACAGGCGAACAGCAAACAAAGATTTAATTAGTCAGTTCTGTGCACGGCTTGACTGCCAAGCTTTCTCAAGGTCTCAACTTGCTGGACGCGGATATACTCTAACGACTAACGGGCTAATAACAGCAACAATTAAATTCTCAATCATACCACGAAGAAGGCGATGTAGCTCAGAAAACAACGCCGGTAGGACCTGATATTAAAAATAAGACTTTTGCCGGCGAAGCAAGTTGGCAGAACATCTTGGCTGTCAACAACAAGCTTTCGAATACAGGACTAGTTTGGCTGTTCTTTCAGCGTCGTGTGTGTCCAAAATTCGTCAAAGATTTTGATGAAGCCCTTTCAAAATACTGTTTGTTTGATTTATTTTCTTCCATAAAGCATAAAAGAAAAGAAATTCGAAGAAATCGATAATGGAATTTGTTACGTGCGTTTGACCTTTATATTAATTCTCGCCTTGACCGAGCTATTTTTAAAACTGTTGTTTATGTGAACTTGCAACCAATCAAAATCCTTCATGATGCTGATCAACCAATCAGATTTCCCGTCCACCAGGTGGACGGGAATCCCACACTTTAGATAGGTTTTGTGTCAGGCCCTATTCTGTGATAGGGCCTGAACTTCAGGTTACATCACAGAGGAATCGCCATCGCATGAAGGTGAACAAATTATTAATTTAAATAAAAACAATTTGAGTCCATCCTACACCAATGATAAAATTCCACCTAACGATCAATGCGCTGGCTCGAATATAAATAACACTGATTCTACGTCTGATGCGCCCCTTCCAAAGCAACAAACATCATCGAGTTTAAAGGACAATCTTTTTGTTGAACAAAAAGAAGAGAATTTAATTTGCTGAAGAACGAGAACTTGAATCTGAAATTACACCTCGACCGTGCCACCAATAGAGTTAAAAATAACCGCTTTGCTGATTCTCCTAAAAGCTCTATTCCCTGCCTTTTCCCTTCTCGCCGTGGCTGGTGCGTTAAAGGGAACCGATGGGACTTCCTGCATGCAAAGCCTTTCCCTAATGAACATAAAGATAGAATTCCTTGTCCTTTCCTTCGAAGGAAAGGGTTTTGTTTAAAAGGAGATCATTGTGATTTTTCTCACGCCGATTTCTCCCATGATATGGTGGCTTCAAGGCCCAAAATGACCAACCTTGTGTACCCTACTTCTTTTTTTACCTTACCAGGTGGTAAAACAGCGCCCACCAAATTACTTCCAGCAAGCGTGGCTCCCACATCCCTGGCCGAAACCTTCAATAGAAGTCCCTTTCACCAAAATCCGCGGACATACCCGTCTTACCCGAAGCCGCTGATGGAAGTCCAACTTTAACCATACCATCCACGTCATTGCCAACTCTGACGTACGACGCTTACCTACCAACTGTTCAACCTCGTTCCCAGGCTCTTTGCTCTTGGGAAGCAAAGACCCTGGTCGGGGCTTATGACGTCACACCCAGAATCTGGGAGTAAACGTATAATTTGACTATGGGTCGGGAGGTAGGGGAGCGTGTTTGTTGCGTTTGGAAAATGGCAACTTTATGTGTTATAATTTCGGGTGATAAAAATGTCATTTGCAACAAGAGATTGTGAAAGGAACGTTCTAGATTCGTACCGATCATGACAAAGACTTCCTGCTGTGCTGAATGTCATCAACAATAAGTGTTGCGTTTATACATTTCAAGCGAGAAGCTGGATCATATTTCACTTGCAAGGAAAACACTCCACACGCGCCTGGCTTGCGAAGTTTAGCACGTATCGCCGTAGAAACATACATATCTTCTACACAGACTGATCGATCAAACGGTATTAAACGAACGATATGGTTCTTTATAGTTGAAGTGTATCCTGTCCGATATTCAAAACAAAAGATTTATTTTATAACGGGATCCTCTGATTTCCCAAACATCGCCAACATGTGTAAACAATAGTGCTATTTTGACTGTAAAAGCACAGGATGAAAACCCGTTATGGACTGGCTATAAAATTCATTTTATTTACATTGCTGAAACTCAACGATCAAGAAAGATAATGTCGAAGTGTAGTTAGCTATCTGTTAATATCACACAAACGCCAAGACTCCTCCATGCGTTTCCGTGCGTGCGGTACAACTTGAATA